ATATATATATATATATATATATATATATATATATATATATATATATATACAGTCTTATAAATGCCTCTTTTGGAGCTATATAATAAAATAAATCCTTATTGCAGATTTGAAATGACAACACAAAAAGTTGCATTTAGCAACTCACACTGGACTTTTGTTGGGAGTTTTATGAATAATTATTCATAAACTTTCATCAGAAATTATAACTTGCATTAATATTAATTTAGGCTTTTACCTTAACTCCATTGTCAAACTAGAGGATTGTAAAGTGAATTCTGATTTTCTCTCTAAGGTCTCTAACACCTTACAGACCTTAGAGAGAAAAACATGTCTACTTGTGTAGACATGTTTTTTAATTTGCCAATTAAATGGACCAAATAATTACAAAAGTGATTTTAATGTCATCGCCAATTATGCATCAAAGCCTTTGTTCCTAAACTTAATTTGTTTTTGTCTAAAATAAAATGTATCAGAAAATGTATTTATAAGCAGTTCAATTTTTAGGTATTGAGTAAAAGTGGGAACTGATCGGCTGGTAATTGGCAGATTTTGAGCATAGGTAAATTGACTTCATAACAGTTATTATCCTTAATAATTGAATTATATTGTTGCACTATGTAGTGTTATTTATTTATCATTGTCTGGGTGGGAAGAAGAGCAGAGAAAAAAGGGGAAGACATGCAGCAAATGGTCAAGAAACAGGAATTGTGCTGGGGGCCGCTGCATATGACGGACCTGCTCTGCCACAGAGCCATGTGGCATCCGGACTTTAACTATCTCAGGCTGTTGTTAGGATTATGCACGTATTAGCTTTCAAAACAGCAAGATACTTACAACAACCAAAAATATGTCAACACACACTTTAATAGTGCACTAAAATGTAAAAAGTAGAAAACAAAACAGACAAAAAAATCTTCAGGATAAAATGAACAACGATTCTGGACAGGCCAGATGATACGCAGAGAAGTCAGTTATCAGTAACTCAGTTTTGCCAATCAATCAATCAATCAACCAATCAATCAATCAATCAATCAATCAATCAATCAATCAATCAATCAATCAATCAATCAATCAATCAATAAAATAACTTTTCATAGTTAGATACAACATAAAGCACTTCACAGAAATTAAAATCAAAGCATACAGATGGCAATAAACGCCAGACAATGCTACACTTTCAAAACAATATAATATTTAATCATCAACAGGAGAAAATTGTTTCATAAAATTAGAACATAGGTAACATCATGATTCTTCACATGACAGATTTACTCATTAAAACACTTACTAAGAACTTATGTTCTTAACCATAAGTATAATAAAATGTATTTTCCTTTATTTATTGTGAAATTAAAAGGTAGTAACATAGAGTTCAAAGTAAATAATGTTAAGTCATAAAGATCAAAAGGCAATTGAAGATATATGTGGAAAAAGTGTAAGGAACAGATTGAACAAAAGATACAAAAATAAAACAGGACTCAATTAATCATTGATTGATGATTAATCAATTCAACTAAAAGTCAGGCTGAGAGGCTACAATAATTATCTCAGTCTCAGATGCCCTCACATCTACGACGGTAGAAAAACATCAAAAAGCCTCGTAGTGAGTTTTTCACGTTAGGTACTAAAACCAGTACCACTTCTGAAAACATGAACACAAATCTCCACTCGGTTGAACCCTTCTTCATTCTAAATGTACATTTCTTCACCAGCACATATATAAACTCTTATGTGTGTGTTTATCTGAATATAAGCGGCTGCTATGAAGCTCGGGCTTGAGCCGACTGTGAAAAGCGGATCATGTGGTGAGGAGATGGATGGCTCTGAGCCCACTGCTGTCTCCCCTAATTGTAAAATATTAGTTACATTAGTCTCTGGCCTGTGATTAATGGAACTTATTTGGAGGTTGCCCTCTCTCGGACCTCCCCTCTCCTTCTGGTGGGGGTGCGGGAGGAGGAGGGAGACAAGGTGGGATGGTAAGTAAGGTAACAGAAACGGAGAGAGGGGGACGCAAGCAGGGTAACAAGCAACTAATGTGGACATAAGGCCTTCTGGCTTCTTATAAACTCGGTTTATGAGAGGCTGTGGACTTGTTCCCACTGTCTATATGCAATCACAAAGTATTTAACAAGACTGAGGAAACTGCTCAGTTTATTAAGTTACACCACATGTGTGAAATCTGAGAATGTGAGATGAAAGTGACGTGCCAGACCCAAATCACAGAATCAAAAGTGTTTATATTTCCCCTATTTTTTCATTTCCAACAGTAGAGGCTTGTGGCGCTTGACGTGAGTCGAGTGGGCTGCAAATTGCTCTCTACCTGAGTTTTCTCCTGCTATTGTCCAAACAGTTTCCACACAAACTCCTCTATACCACCCTGATAACATTCAGACGTGTCAGACATCATCCTCTCTTTGACTACTGTGTGGAAATGTGTGTGTTTGTGTGTCCTTTACGGCCATCAGGTTATTATACACCGACAGATGGGGCATTACCTTTTATTGCTCGCACCTTCTGTGCGTTTTCCCACTTTCCCCCCCCAAAAACACCTTTTTTATGTAGATGTGAAAGTGAGTGTTCAGCCGCGTGCAGCTGTCTCCCCTCCGATGAGGAGCATGATAGAGAGGAAGAGGCGAGGGTGGGGGTGAAAGGGCTGAGACAGCCCTCAGTTTTTGGGAAGTGAAGTCAAATGACATCAGCACATAATGGTTTACTGTAACCATGAATCACAGAAAAAAAACACACACTGCAGTGTGAGACAGAGGGGAACAGAGAAAGTCGTTATGTGAGGTAACATCTCAAAAATAGCACTGCGGTGAACAAGGACACTTGGCTGTCTAGGTAGAAAGGTAAATGAGTCAGCCGGCTGCGTTTTTGTTTTTGATCTTAGCTGCACCTTCAGGCTTCAGTGTCATACAGATTTTTGCTGAGGCCACAGTCAATACTGGAAGCTATTAACAGTATGCGTTGTTGTTTGTATCTTAAGGGTACATGGTGTGCTGCGTCATGTAGCTTCACTTTTGTTTGCTGCGAAACTATGTAGCAGGCACTAAGGAGGTGGATAGACAGGAAGTTTTGGCATGCATTTCTGCCCAGCTGCAGACGTCTGTCATTCCTCAGTTCAACACTTGTGTGCATGTTTATTTATCTGTGTGTGTGTGCATGGATATGTGTGTATTTTTACTCAGAGCAGGAAATGTGAGCGAAAACACGCGAGCCCTCCCATAAATAAAAACCTATCACCACGTCTTAAAGTGTCATTATATGCTAATTTTCAAGTGATTAACAAAATGTCAGTTTAATTTGTCCTCCACTCATAACACTTATTTAAATGGTTTTGACTATATATACCTAAAAGGTACCATTTCCCTGTTGCTTGTTCTGCCAACATGTTATTGTCACCTCAGAAGGAAGACAGTTCATGGATCTTCTTGACAGATGTTTCCCTACTTCCTTTTCCACCTGATTAACAGGTTCACACATAAAACAATATGTTTCTTGTAAAAGCAATTTGTCGTTGTTCAAAAATAAAGATACTTTATGTGGTTGGTTACATACACCCTACAAATGAGTGATGTTTTCCCTCAGGGATTGATTTTATTGAACTTTTTCCCCCCATGCTTTCCATTCTCATCACAGTACTGAAACTACCCTCATCAAAATGTTCATGAATATCCATATAAATACAGACTGTGGAAGAACCGCAGTGACGGTTCTGTTGGACTTCATAGCTGCATTTCACCCAACAAGATCTCAAGAAACCAATCTAGAGAAATCCAATTAAATAACTTTTGTTAGTTTATAAATTTCTGAATGGCCCAGCACCAAAGTACATCATAGTCCTGTTGTCATGTCAACTTTCCAGAGGACCCAGTCTTCTGGTTCAAGTCTACTCTGCGTCCAAAGAACCAGAACTAAATATGGAGAAAAGCATTTGGGTTTTGTTGTGTCACCAATCTGGACAAACTACCAAAATGGTGGGAGTTTGTTCCAACAACTAGCGCAATGGTCAATATCTTTGATTTATATTTGATTAATATACTTCTGGGTGATTTTGATAATTGCATTTTACAAAATGTAATGCTTGTTGCCTTTTTCATAACTGATGATTAAAAACTGAGTAATGCAGCATTAATTTTAGACTCTTTCATAGCAGTTATAGCTTAAATACAGTCACTCCAAATTCTGTTGACATGTTTAACCAGAAGAACACTATAACTGAAGATTTATAATTTATATGAAGAGTAAATTCAACCTTATTAAAAATGTAGCTGCCACAAGTTTAAAATTATTTTTGGCAATGCAGAGACATAGCTGCAGAGATCCACGGCTCAGATTGATCATTTCAACAGGACAACCGCTGTGAATGCATGAAAAGATGCAGATCACACTGTAGCTCAAGGAAGATGGGATGAAATCAAAATGGACGTTTTTGGCAAAATTGACAGAAAACTAACACTGTCCACAATCCTGAACATGGCGTCAGCATTTTGCTGTGAGGCGCTTTTTCCCAAGAGGGAATGTGAAACCAATTAAGAGTTTATGCAAATGGACACCGAGCTAAATTCAGGGATGTGTAAGAAGAAAACTCTTAGAGGCTGCAAAAGATTTGAGAGTGGGGAGGAACTTCACCTTTCACTAGGACAGGAGCAATAAACAAAGTCAGTGTTACATTGGAATGGCTTCATTTAATGGATAACCATGTTTAAAACTAAAGGACCTCAAACATTTCAGTGTTTTTATTTGCATAAAATGTATAGAACCATGTTCCTTATACTTAGCAATTATGTGAAAATTTGTGTTGGTTCACTGCATAGAGTTTGAATAAATTAAGTTTATTGTTAACATAACAAAATGCGCAATAGTTCAAAGTGTGAATATTTTTGCAAGGCGCTGCAAGTTGTTAGTTACTTCAGAAGTTGAAATGCTAAACAATAAAATGTATCTTTTTGTACTAATGTGTCTTTCTTTCTTTGTGCTCCTTCTCCTTGTTTTTCCAGTTCGGAAGCCATTCCAGTGCAGGTACTGCCCCTACAGCGCCTCCCAGAAAGGAAACCTGAAGACCCACGTCCTCTGTGTTCACCGCAAGCCCTTTGACAACAGCCTGTATCCCGACCGCCGCCTGCGACGCTCGCACACGCCCCAGACCCCCTCCAGATTGTCTCTGGGAGTCACAGGAGATGGTCGTGAGTCAGGGAGGGACCAGATCAGTCTGCCGTCGGTGTGTGGGACTTGATGCTGCCATAGCAACTGAAGATACAGAGAGACATGATAACTGCTTTAGCCTCACCTTGAAAGGGTTAAGATGATTGAGATTGTTATAAAAAAAATGTTAACGACCAACCTTGATGTACATTCCAGTGTTTACTTGAAGAGCCACAGTACGTATTTATCTGTAGCAAAAGAAGCTGCCTATAATAATAAAGTCCATTGTGATGTGAAAGTGTAGCAAATGTTCTTGGTGCTGTTGATTTTTTTCAAAAGTGTCCACATGATTTGCTCGTGTTTATATGCATCTATCAGTCCAACACTTGCCTGACACTAAGGGTGTATCGCTCCAGCCCAAAGCTCTTGCTCTTTCATCCAGTAAATACCCTGTGTTGCTTTATTTTTTATTTTTTTTCGTAAATATCATTTGATTTCCCTTCCAGTCCACAAGTCTTGTCTATCTGTCAGGATGTGGTGCCAGATGTTCGGCCTTTAATCGCAGCAGATGTAATGAAGTAGAATGTTGCACATCGGAGCTTCCATTTGTTCTGGATTCCACTCCAGGGAGAAAGCCTCTCTCACATATAATTATTACCCATTAACTCCTATGCTTCATGCCCTCGTGCTGGAACAATGCTCAATTAAGGGGAACCACAGAAATGGAAAAAAAAAACCTGCAGAGATTCATTGATAGCCCATTCAAATGCGTTTTACTATTTTCTATTCTTTTTTTTCTTCTTCTTCTTCTTCTTTTTTTTTTTTTTTAAAGTGGAACCACCCATGTGTGCATAAGCCTAATGTACTAGCTAGTAGAGCGCAGGCCTAATCAACACAGCTATTGTAAGCTGCTGCTGCCATGTATGGTAATTTTAGCATGATGTGCGCTGCCTCTGCGTCCCGTGCCAGTAGCCTGCCTGTACACCCAAAGATCACCTTGGGCAGCTGTGTGCCTGCTCAGCCGGGCCCTTGTAGCCACAGCGTTGTGACTTTGACTGACAGCCCGCCTGACAACTCCATTCATGCGCCACCTGCTAGCTGTCAATCACAGCGGCCATCCTGGGGCTATTGACGGAGCTGTCAGCCTGTGTGAGATGTGTCTGTCAAAGCCCACCCACTCTGCCACTCTGTCTCCCTGCCTGGGCAACCTGACGTTCGTTTACTGTCCTCCTTCCACCTCTCTTCCCTTTCCACCTCCGTCTCTTTCTTCCTCTGGCAGTCTGTCTGTCTCCTGCCTGGCTCCCATCAGGGATACGACGGCCCCTTAATCCCCGATCCAATCACAGATTCTTTGGATACACATTTGTCATCCCTAAACCCTCTGGTTTTTGTAATGGAGTGCTTCACAAACACTTCTACAGACCTGATATACATGTTTTTATTTCTGTCTCCTGTTTCCACCCTCCTCAACTCCACCACGCTTTCTCTCCTTCCTTTGCGTTTCTCTCCCTGCCATCCTCCTCCTGTGCTCATTCACCCTTCATCTCTCACTCCGACAGTTGACAAGGTCTGGGCCTCCAGCTGACTGGAAAATCGGACGCCTGTCATACCTGTCAATACTGTTTTAAGGCTGTGCCAAAGTGGATCAGGCCAGAACAGTTGATCTTCTGATTTGACCAAGGTCACAGAGTTTTTGTGGCAAGATGAGGGGAAACTTGAAATTCTGCAACTTGTGCCCCTCCAACAGAGCCCTGTGGAAATGGATCATCCCTGAAGCCTCTTCCTGTCAAACCTCCTAATTAAGCACAGTTTCTCTTAAAGCAAGGCTGCTTAATTAATGCTGGGGAACTTTGTTAATTACTCTTAATGGTGATGAATGCTTTAGTTAACGTCTCGCTGCCACTATCAATGTCATACTCAGGCTTTTTGTACATCAAAAGGGCCCATCTCACTGGAGTTCAACCTGTGTTTTTTTTACTGCTTTGGTTTTAATTTGAAGTCCAAGGTTCACACACTGTATTACATCGACCTCTAAAATGATTTTCACCTCAGTAAAGATATGTCAAAATTATTAATGTAAATTGATGTTTCAAGCTGAATTTGTGAATGAATGAACTCAACTTTCATGGCCAATTTCTGATCTCTGGGTTTTGTAAACCTAACCTAGATTTAGAGTTTCTGGATATTTTTTTAACGTTTCAGTGATTTGAAACTTAAAAAAAAACTAAAACTAACAACCAAGGCTGGACAAGAGTCCAAGATTATCTCAGCATCAAATACAGTGTGGATGAAAATACAGGGTTGTTGTCTTTTCAGCCTTTTGAACACTTTACAAGGGCTGATAAGAGTTGTGGAGATCTTGTGTTTCAAAAGGCTTTTTGCTTCCAAATCAAATGCAGTGTGGCCAATTTTATGCATTTATTAAAAATAATTACATCCAATGAATCCTTACTCCTTTCACTCTAATCAATAATCGTGGTTGATCTAAGCATGTGGGATTAAAGTCGTGCAAATTTGAACTTTTAGATTAAATGTTGATAAATTCAACTCTTCACACTTTATTTGCCCATCTTCCTCCAGCTATTGCTAATCTCTTGGCTATCCTCCGCTTCACTGCTAACATTCACTGCATATCTGCAGATCATGTTTGAGATCTCTCTCTCAGCCACATTGAGAGAGGCAGGACATGTACAGCTAATCAGCTTGAATAAGTAAAGGAAACAGTTTGACAGGCCAGGTAATGAGAAGTAATGAATCACTAATCACAGTCTCTTACAACCCTTGGAGCACAGATGAAAAATTAAAGGTAATTAGCTTGCACAGTTGTGAAAACAATATTTAAGACTGTTGGCATCGCATGGCACAGACTTAACAGATTTTCTCTGCTGATAGCATACATCAGCGCCACGCTGAAGTCCTAATATCAAGCTGTTATTGGAAAAGCTTTCTCAATGTAATTTTAGTGACTGATCTGATTGGGGTGTACAAGCCTCGCTCCCTCACTCCCCCCTCTCTGAAGCAATCTTGCAAAAATGCAAACATGATAAATGTTTCAGTTAGTTTTTCCTCTAGTTTTTCCCCACCGACATTAAAAGAGAACATGGCAGCACCTTACTCTGAGATTTTCTCCTTAAAATAAACACAGCCGAACAACAATGCGGGTAATTCAAAAACATCTGGTCAGAGCTGGGATGTTTCTGCAGCTTCCTATTGTTCCTGTGCTTGATGGCACTGAGAAAGATGCTTTGATGGAGCCCATGTTTGACAAGACTGTGTGAGACTCAAAGTACAGGATCCAGACATGGACTGTCAGTCAAAGCCGCCACATCTCCCAGCTGAGACGTGCCAGTTTAGTCACAGTTACAAAGGAACTAATATGCGTTAAGTGGAGCAAGGCACACATATGGGCCCGGCAGAGGCCCGTGTCCCAAGGCAGGGATTGAATGAATGCCAAAGAACATAAGCCCAAGATATAAAAAGAATTACAAGGGGACAAATAAAACACGGGGATTATGTCAGTGTGAGAAATGGAGGCGTTGTAATTCTGCCTGTGTGCTGGCTCACCTCTCCCTTTTCAGCATCCGGGCCCGTGGGCTGCAGCCCTGCAGTCCTGCACCTGTGTTCTGACTATCTGGGAGATTTAGACGCAGAATTCAGGAAAGGTCTTATCACAAGAAGGAGGACAAAGGAAAAAGGAGCAGAAAGTGAAACAAGACAAGCTAATGGTTCCTGTAAGCTTCATTAGGCTCTGTTCATTTGGAATCTGCAGTGTTAGTTTCCCATCATACACATCAATTTGCCCTACGTCTTGGTGAGTTTGGAGTTTTGCTACACTCTTATATTTTTTGATGAGAGATTAAGGATCGACATGTCCAATGCTCCAGATATTATTTCATAAACTTTTCCTTTTTGAAAACTTCTTAAAACTCTCTGCTGTGCTTCAGATCTCCTCACTGACAGTGAAGCGTAAAATTCAAGAACTTGATAAATTGTTACTTCTCATGAAACAGAAAAAAAGATCACACCAGCAATCTTCAGCCTGGACTGACTCTCCTAAGACATTCCTCCTCGTTCTGATTGGTTGTTTCTTACTGGGCACATTTCTACAGATGGCTGTAGAACCACTGGGCGGAACCAGAGGGACTTGGTTTTTTTACAGATTACGTGTCTCTTATACTTCTGTCATCACGACACAGTGATCGTTAACACATTTTGAAGATAAACATTATTACAAAAGTGATCTGCTGCATCTTTAACAAAATTGATTGCAGTTTTTCTTGTTGTATGAGAGTAAAGGAGGTGAAATACAAAGTGCAAAATGTGAATAAGTTTCAGTGCTTCTCCAAAGTGCTGTACATTTTTTTTTTATTTTCACCTATTTTCATATTTGATTTGCGTAATTACACCACTAGAATGCTTCAGCGAAGGATGGTGTCATGAAACGCTCCCACAATTTTGGCAGAAACACAAAAATAGTTTATTTGATCCTTCCTTCATCTTCAGCAGTATTCCATCCGGTACTCAGGAATAAAACCATTATTTACGGACAACCCTCCACCCCCACCTCTTGTTTAATCAGGCACAGAAGATAAGGAAACAGCAAGTAGCAACTCTTGAGAAATCTGGGCATGCATTAGGAGTTTCCACTTGAACCAAATTTTGAAATTCCAGAGAAATGGTCTGGGTCATTCTAGTTAATTTAGAACGTGCCTGTCAATAGGATGTTGTCTCCCCAGTGTCTTTTTCATCAACTTAAAAAAAGGGGAACTGCAAGATACCTTTGAACAGCATTGTGATGACCGTAAAAGACATGTGGGGAGACTAAAGAAACCCCCAGAATTTTGTAAATGTCGTCTTCAGGTTTCTTTCATCACAAGTGCTCCCAAAATGCCCGGAATAACTTTCAATGTCACCGGGTTTCTCTGTGTGTTCAAGAAAGGCGGGGTGAGGTGGTGTGTCTGTGTGGGTGGGGGTTGAGATTACCGTGAATGTCATCCTGCCTCCTCTCTCAATCATCCACTTTCAATCCATCGCCATCTCAGCGTTTGCGAGACAGCTCGGCGATGATGCCAGTAAAATGGGATCAATAGCATAGGAAAAAACGGACCAGACAATCTCTTACCCCTGTGAACTTCTGTACCCGTGATTGATTTGTCCCCTACCACAGCAGAGGAGACATTAGAGACTAAAAAAAAAAACAACAACAACAACAAAACAACACACATGTGACCACACAAGTGTGATCTTGTGTTTGTGCACCTGTGTATGTGTGCTGAAACATGTTTT